ATAACATATTGTACAATTTCATAAAGTACGGTATATCTATTTTTTCAGAATATATAAGCTTTTATTAATCTTTATCATACCTTTCTCCATGTCAATATAGGCAAAACTGAAAGTAAATTTGGTAAAATTGTTATATTAATCTACCTTTTAATATATAAAATATTCTTAATTATTTAATTATCTACAATGTAGGCAATAGTCGCAAACAAATATTTTGTTGTTTTTCTTATTTTTTAATTTTATTTTTTTTCTTATCAATTACATTTTATTAAATCTGTATCACAGCCATGTCCCACTCCCTCATTCCCTCCCAATCCCACCCTCCCTCCCTCATGTCCAACCTGCCCCTTGCCAAGTCCACTGATGGGGGGACCTCTTCCCCATTCATCTGATCCTGTTTTATCAGGTATCTTCAGGACTGGCTGCAAAGCTCTCCTCTGTGGCCTAACAGGACTGCTCCTCCCTTGGGGGGTGGGGAGGTCAAAGAGCCAGTCATTGAGTTCCTGTTAGAAATAGTCCTTGTTCCCCTCACTATGGGAAACCAATTGGTTACTGAGCTACCACAGGCTACATCTGAGCAGAGGTTCTAGGTTATATCCATACATGGTCCTTTTTTGCATGTCAGTCTCAGAAAAGACCCTGTGCCCAGATATATTTGGTCCTTGTGGAGCTCCTATCCTTTCCCCATCATACTAACTCCCCTTCTTTCTTATGATTTCCTGTACTCTGCCGAAGGTTTGGTCATGAGTCTTTGTATCTGCTTTGAAAACACTGCTAGTTAGAGTCTTTCAAATGTGCTCAGTAGACTCCTGTCAATGTTCAATGCACATCCCATCTGTCTTTCTAAATGAGGATTGATAATCTTACCCCATGTCCGCTCTCTTGATTATCTTTTTAAGGTGTACAGATTTCATTATGTTTATCATATCTTATAGGTCTATATAAGTGAGTATATACCGTGTTTGTCTTTCTCCTTCTGGGATACTTCACTCAGGATGATCTTTTCTAGATCCCATTTGGTCAGGTATACCTGAGAGGTCTCTGAAACAGCACAGGCTACTGGCATTTCCCTTAAGTATTAGCTGTAACATCATGGTAAGACCCTATTGCTGAATGTACCACATCTTTTGGGTGTGTGACTTAGAGACATAAATTTCAACCTGATCACAGAAATCCATCACTGAGAGCAAGCTCTCATAGTATTAGAAGCTACAATACAGACTGCTGGGAAGAAGAAACAAATAAGAAAAAAAAAAAACTAAAGCAAAAATAGAACAAAACAAAACAAAAACAATGATCTGATCTCAAGCTACACCCTTGATACTACAAAACAAACCAGTCTGTCAAGTTCTGTGCACTTGTACAATAGTGACAGGATGGCTATGGGGAGGCAACTGTCTAATTCTACATGTGGCCTGTTCCACAGGAGTGACTTTCAAGCCTGGAACTGTGAAAATGTTAAACCCCCATCCAGGTTGTCACAGACCCTACGATAGTATTTACCTTTTTAATTTTGGTAAATTGTGATAGTGTCAAATTGTCTTCTATATATTAATACTTATACCCATTGACCTTTGCTTCTCTCAGCTGAAGTCAGACAAGCTTCTTTTGGCAGAGGACAACAGTCAGTTGAGAGTTGTTGAACTGGTCAAAGACTTGAGTATGAAAGGCCAGGTGCTCAGATTTGAAATACACATATTTATCACACGTGCAAGGCTTGGGTGCATTTTGGAATAACATAAGAACATCAAAAGAATGAGGAACCCCATGAAACTACTGTCCCTAGACTTGCCTGGATATCACAGTCATGAACTCATAGACTCTTTTGGTCCCTGCCTAAGCCCTATACAAGAAGATGGCAGTAATTTTCTATCTAGAATTTTCTACAGGTGCTAACCCTAACTTAAAATTTAAAGGAGCCACTGGCAGGTAATACTTGCTCAAGAAGAAAGAAACATTTTTTTTCAGGGGGTGGCACAGTTTTCAATGAACATATATATATACCCCAACTATAATTATACCAACAATTTGCATTGCTGCAAAACCCTGAGATAGATGTTCATACATGGGAAGAAGAGGTTGGACTCTGAGGGTCATGAAGACAGAAAAAGAGCATGAATAAAAGAGGATATCTGGTTGGTAGGAGGACTTGTTGAGGTTGATATGGCATGAGTGGGTGCGATGAAATGGAAGGTAATAGGATCATACTTCAATGTAAATAAATATAAAAATTTAAATAAATATTATTTTAATACAAGGCATTGATATGTTATATAAAGAAGATAGCATATCTTATTATAATATATATTTTTGTTAATTCTTAGAAATCTAGTTGTTTTCTGATGAAAGACAGAAAGGGGTTTGGTCAGTATGGGAGGGTATATGGGGAGAACCTAGAAAAAGTAGAGGAAGGTAAATGCATCGGTAGATATAATATATTCTTAATTAATGGGAGAAAAAAACACTAAAAAATACAAAACGAAATAAAATAATTAAAAATGATGGAATCATCCAAACAATAAAATAGTATCTGCTTTATACCCAATAAGCAATAAATTCTTTAAAGGGGCACACAAAGGTCTTTAAAAATCCTACAATATTTCCAAAATTCCACTCACTGTAACCACATCTGTCCATCCCTGTCCAGATAGCCACTTCTATTTTTTACTATTCAAGGTTAAAATACAGTTACCACTCACGGGAGAAGATCTTCATACTATAAAAACATTGGTTTATTCATGTATCAGAATCCTATTTCAGAAAGAAATTTGGATGTATAAATGTTAAATTGTGTCTACACATTGTTTTCACCTTATCATTTCATACATTATTAGGAAAATGGAGACAACTTCGATTATTCAGCACTTGCCAAAATTAATATAGAAATTTTAGGAAGAGCAGTGTAAAAGGAAATGAAGTCTCAAGCTGGTCTTGTTAAGGAATACAGCCATTCACAAGAGTTATTTTTGTTTTAATCATTTCCGTTAGTTATCCCAACTATTAGCATTGCTACAAACCCAATGTAAAGAAAATGTCTCATAACCCTCCTTTCACTGCAGCCAAAGTCTAGGAGCTTAGAAATATTATCTGTAAATAGCAATATGGAAAATTTTCAACTTTGTTCCCTGTGAATAGCTGCATTTCAATTCTGCTACCATTGCATCTTAACTGCCAGAAATTACATGGAACTGAAGGAATGCTGTTGGTTATATAAGTGGCCACATCTTTTGGGTCATCCTTTATCCTTGGAATTTTTCCATTAAAATACCAACATCTAAGAGCTAGCAGCATGATCCTTCCACCCTCCCTAGCACTCACGTGCACCGTGTCCTGGAAAGTAGCTTAGAAGGAATCCTTTCATTGAGACATCATCATTGTTTGGCCTAGTTATGTCAGAGGGGAGGTGAAAAGTTGTCCCAATTTTTCCTCTCCTTTTCTAAACTCATATTATCTTCGCATTTATTCAAAATAGCATTAAATATGCATAACTTTTTAATAATAAAATATATCTGTATTGTCTTTTACTCCTAAAGAACCAATATTTCTGTTTCTTCTGTTTTGCATCCATTACAAAAATTAAGAGATTTTTTTAAAAAGAGGATTCAAAGTTTATAACAAATAAACTATTTGTAACTCATTATGCTGTTTCAATGTTCATATATTTGTCATTCCATGGAACACCTTGCAAGATAAAAAGCATGTAATAAAGATGAATTATTTGTTTCCTCTTGGTATGAATATATGAGTATTGCAGAATTGTTTCAGATCTTTTTCTGTGTTCTATAAGCTGACACCTTGGATTCTATGGACTACAGTCTCCACAGCTGCATTGTAATCCCCTATGGACATACAACAGAATGGACTGATTCTGTTTCTGAAAAGCTTGCCTGCAAGGGAGGTAGCATGTTCTGCATGGAGGACTTTTTTTTTTTTTTTAATCAGTAGTGATAAAGACAAAAATAAACAGTCATCCAGGGAGGAGGGAGGCACTGAGCCTGCAGTCAGTGACCACACTTCTGAGCAAGCTGCTTCTCTGACAGGCGTTAAACAGACATAAGTGCAGCTGCTTCAACAGATCAACAACTAACCTTCCCCACTATTTTCTTCTGTCCTAGCACGAAGAAGATGGTGCTTCAAGATATGGACATGGTACTCTGCTTTTAACAAAGCTTGATCTGACAGTATTAATAATTTGCTAACTACATTCTGTTTTCATTTTTATTGCCATCTATGTACATTTAACCTATATTGAAAATTAAGCAACATATATATTAAAACTATTATTAGTTATTAGACAATATGTTCATGAACTCAAGAAAGCTGACTTAGTGACACATCTTAGCAAGTGAAATAAATATTAAACATTAATAGGTGAAGTGTTATTTTAACATCATGTCCATGAACCAGAAAAACATAAAGTATGAGGCATCAGAAATGGGCCAATCAGAAAAATTGTGAATTTTAACATAACTTTATGACAGTAAAGACGAAGGTTTTTTACATCCAATTAAATCTACTTTCATTAGAAGAGAAAATGGCAACATTGATGGGAGAGAATAACTTAGTATGTGTGGATTACTTTTTTTATTTTATTAATTACACTTTATTCATTTTGTATCCCCCCATAAGCCCCACCCTCCTCCCCTCCCGATCCCACCCTCCGTCCCCTTTCTGCATGCATGCCACTCCCCAAATCCACTGATAGGGGAGCTTCTCCTCTCCTTTCTGATCTTAGTCTTTCAGTTCTCATCAAAAGTGGCTGCATTGCCCTCTACCGTGGCCTGGTAAGGCTGCTCCTCCCTCAGGGGGAGGTGATCAATGTGAAGGGCAGGGCCTGTTTCCCACAATTAGTTTGAGTTTTCCAATCTAAGGAACAGCTTTCTAGAATGAGACACATGTTCCTTATTTCATCATTCATTTTCCAGTTCCACCTTCACCCTACAATTTCTCAAGAAAAGCAAAACTAATAAGCAATTCTGAAAAAATGAAAACAAACTTACTTTTCCAACATACTGTGGATCTGGTCCCATATGTTCTTCTAAAACAAAGAACTGGTTCCATACCCATCCCCTCTTCGGACGATGGTGGACTTCTGTTTCCCCTTCGGTGTGTTTGGTTTGGTTTCTGGTCACCTTGATGGAGTTGTGGTGAGCAGTTCCATAACACCTCTGCACAAAACAGAGACACACGAGGACTGGGCAGATGCAAGATGTGCTCGTAATTTTCATTGTAAGATCACTTCCTGTTCACAGTCCTTCCTGTCTTTGTGGCCTACAATGGCTCAGTATGCATTCAAGAGAGAAGCCAAAGCATCTTTTGGAATTACAGTCCAAAGCAGATAATTTAGTCTGTCCATGATTTAGCTGCCCATCAGGGAAAGGTCAGGCAATGTTTACATCCTTATTCATGGGTGGAATTACAAGGGCAGCCATTGGACCCCAGCTGTCACTGTTGGTTAGCACAGGTTGTCATTTTCAGCCTGTTGGGAAGAAAGAATTTGTACATATAATTAAGCATGTGAATTTTAATTACACATTCTAAATACAAGTTCTATTTCTTTAAAGCATGAAGATGTTTGGTATGGATTTGATTAGAAGACACACCTCTGTGCTTTGCTGTGGAATTATTTTTGAGATGCTGTGGAATTATTTTTGAGAGATTTTACTTAGGGAAGAATAATCCTGAATATGAATATTCACACCCCGTGGAACAGGATTCTTGACAGAATAAAAAAAAATGAAGAAAATAGAAGCAACTGACCTCAAATGTATATATTTCTGATCATTAATTGTGGCTAAATGTAAGCACAGACCTTATACTCCTATTGCTAACCTTCAACATGACAGATTATACCCATGGAAACCCTGAGCTAAAACAATTTCTTTCTCCCTCATGTTACTTCTTTTATGATATTTGGTTCCAGCTACAATAGGATTAACTAATAAAATAAAAAAAAATGTCTGAATGTTTTCAAAAATACACATAAAACTTGTGTGCATTGGCACATTTTTACCTTTGGTCTCCAAACTGTAATTCTTATCATTAATTACACATCTACTTATACTTTTGTGAGACTTAACAAAAATTGATGTGCATATTACAAAATAGTACTGTAGGAAAATCTACTATCAATAATTTACTGACAGCATTCTATAAACGCTGGTTATTATCCACACAGATAAGTGTTGCCTTCATCCCTATCAAGGAAATTTCTTGCAACAGAGAACACTACGGAAAGCCAAGGAAATTTCTTGCAACAGAGAACACTACGGAAAGCCACAACCAATCAAAATGCAGAGATATAGAGCCCAATCCCAATGGAAACATCACAGAGCACTCCTCCACCTAACCAGGGATCCTGTGGAAGACTGTAAGAACCAGAGAGAAAAGAAATTTGCTGTGAAATTTTGTCTCCTAATAACATAGGAAGCTATAGTCATAAATTCTCACCCACACGACCACCAAAAACTGAGCTGAACAAGTAGTACATCAGAGAACATACCATATTGGGCTGGGGGATGGGTGGGTGGTTGGGTAAATTCCATGAGGCAGAAACCCTTCACAAAGAGCTAAAGGCAAGTCACTAGATCTGGGAGAGGGCAGAGGTTCTTTTGAGGAGAAAGCACAGCAAATTATTCTACAGCGGCAAATGGACAACCATGAAAATATGATTAAAAGTAACATTATATGGACTTAAGTAATAGTTGAAAATATACGCATATATATAAAGTCATATGTACTGTCAATAACAATTAATAAAAAGAGACTTGAAATTACTGGATAGAGGAGAAGAGAGAAAATTTATAATTAAATCACAGTATCAAACAAGAGCAACAATTAGAGCAAAGGTTGTCTCTGACTCTGCTGTCTGCTTTTGGGTCCCTTTCTCCTAGCTGAGCTGCCTTGTCTTGACTCAGTGATAGATGAGCTTAGTCCTGCTATAACTTGAGGTGCCAGGATGGGTTTATACTAATGAGGCACCTCTCCTCCTCTAAGGAGAAGGGGAGAGGAAGGAGAAAGAGAGAGCCTATGAGGATGGGATTGGGAGAAAAAGAGAAAGGAGTCTCTGATCAGGCTCTAGTGTGACTAAAATGAATTAATGAAAATAATAGACAACAACAACAACAACAAAAAACAATTAGTTGTTGGTTGCACACACGGCTTTTAAATATATACCACATTTTCTATCAGTGCTATAACAAAGTCAAATAGGCATATAAAGTGTTAGCTTTAAAAAAAATAAATTGAAATTGAAAAAAGGAAGCTCACTGAAAAAAATATATACAGCTGAAAAATCACACCAGGATTGGGGCACAGGTTGACACAGTCAAACATGAGTGAAAATGCCAATTGGTTAATCATTGGGCGCACATTTTCTAAAATACTTTTCATAATGCTCTAAGGTGTGGACTTTATATCCAGGCAAGACAGATTTCCATGCAGGGAAATGATTTCAATTAAAATTTTACTTTAGCAGCTGTATCAAGAAAACCTTGAAATAAAGACAGTGTTAAAATTACCTAATGTAAAATCATTTTATTTATTCATTCATGTAAGAAATATCAAGATTTCAAATTATATTTTTAAAGGTAAAGAAAACATGATTTTTTTAAAGATTTATTTATTTATTATGTATAAATGTTCTCTCTGCATGTACACCCAAATGCCAGAAGAGAGCACAAGATCTCACTATAAATGGTTGTGAACCACCATGTGGTTGCTGGGAATTGAACTCAGGACCTATGGAAGAGCAAGCCTTAACCTCTGAGCCATCTCTGCAACCCATGGGAATATGATTTTTTTTTTTTTTTGAGCTAATAAGACATGTATCTGCATTGTTTTTTGGGCATAAAATCTTTTTTAATTTTATTTTTTTAATATTAATCACAGGTTATTTACTTTGTATCACAGCCGTAGCCCCCTCCCTCATTTCCTCCCTATCCCACCCTCCCTCCCTCATCTCCTCCTTGTCCCTTTCCAAGTCCACTGCTAGGGGAGGTCTTCCTCCCTTTCCATCTGAAACTAGCTTATCAGGTATCTTTAGGACTGCAATATCTCCCTCTGTGGCCTAGCAAGGCTGTTCCTCCCTCGGGGGGTTGGGGAGTAGGAGGTAAATGAGCCAGTCATTGAGTTCATGATTTTTTTAAATAAGAAACATGAGATGGCCATGCATGGTTGCATAGGCCTGTAATCCTAGGAAGGAGAGGCAGACTGATCTCTGTGAGATCGAGTCCAAGGCTAGCCTGGTCTACAAAGTGAGTCCAGGACAACCAAGGCTACACAGAGAAGCCTTATATCAGAAAAAAAGAAAGAAAGAAATGAGATGTTTTATTTTTTCATTAATTTTCCACCCAGAAGATAAGCATGAGCTATCACATAGAGTTAATTGAATTGTATTCAGGTAAGCATAGTTATACTTAATTATTTACAAAACAAAATAAATAATCATTCATAACCTAATTTTTATGTATAATTGAAAACAATGGCGTTATATAGCTAGGGATGGAAATGGAAATGTACCACAATTTCTGTATCCATTCCTCCACTGAGGGACAACTCTGGAGGTCATGCAGAGACTGATACCCTAACCAAGGACAATGCACAGAGAGGACCTAAAACCTGGCTCAGATGTAGCCCATAGACTCAGTCTCCAAGTGGATTCTCTAATAATGGGAGCAGGGTCTGTCTCTGGCATGAACACATTCACAGGCTCTCTGATCACCTCTCCCTGAGTGTGTGTGTGTGTGTGTGTGTGTGTGTGTGTGTGTGTGTGGCGGGGGTGTAGCCTTGCCAGGCCACAGAGGAAGACAATGTAGTCAGTCCTGATAAGACTTGATAGGCCTGATAAGACTTGATAGGCTGTGGTCAAATAGAAGGGAGGAAGACCTCAACTATCATCGATGAGACGAGGAGCAGAAGAGGAGAAAGAGGGAGGATGTGATTGAAAGAAGAGGGAGGGGGACACAGCTGGAATACAAATTGAATAAATTGTAATAAATGATAATAATAATGAATGGGGTTCATAGCAAAACAGAGAATTCTTAATAGAGGACTATCAAATGGCAGAGAAACAAGTAAAGAAATGCTCAAAGTCCTTAGTCATCAGGGAAATGCAAATCAAAATGACCCTGAGATTTCATCTTACACCCACCAGAATGGCTGAGATAAAAAACTCAAGTGACAACACATGCCGGAAAGGATGTGGAGAAAGGGAACCCTCCCCCATTGCTAGTGGGAATGCAAACTTGTACAACTATTTGAAAATCAATCTGACGGTTTCTCTAAAAATTAGGAATAGTGCTTTCTCAAGATCCAGCAATACCACTCCTAGGCATATATCCAAAATATGTGCAAGTATACAACAAGGATATTTGCACAACCATGTTCATAGCAGCTTTTTTCATAATAGCCAGAATCTGGAAACAACCCAGATTTCCCTAAGCGGAAGAATGGATACAGAAATTGTGGTGCATTAACACAATGGAATAGTACTCAGCAATTAAAGACAAGGAAATCATGAAATTTCCAGGCAAATGGCGGGAACTAGAAAAGCTCCTCCTGAATGAAGTGACCCAGAAGCAGAAAGACACACATGATATCTACCCACTCATAAGTGGATATTAACCAAATAATATAGGCTAAATATACTAAAATCTGTACTCCAAAAGAGGCTGAACAAGAAGGAGGACTCTAAGGAAGTTGCTAAATCCTCACTCAGAAAGCAAATGGGATAGATATCAGCGAGGGAGAAAACAGGGAACAAGACATGAGCCTAACACAGGGGGCCTCTGAAAGACTCTACTGATCAGGGTATGGAAGCAGATGCTGAGACTCATAGTCAAACTTTGGGCAGAGTGCAGAGAATCTTATGAAAGAAGGGGGATATAGAAAGTCCTGGAGGGGACAGTAGCTCCACAAGGACAGCAACAGAACCAAAAATCTGGGCACAGGGGTCTTTGCAAAAACCGATACTCCAACCAAGGATCATGCATGTAGGTAATCTAGACCCCTTGCTCAGATGTCTTCCAAAACATTTCAGTCTCCAAGTGGGTTCACTAGTAAAGGGAGCAGGGGTTGTCTCTGACATTAATTCAGTGGCTGCCTCTTTGATCATCTCCTCCTGAGGAGGGAGCAGCCTTATCAGGCCACAGAGGAAGACAATGCAACCAGTCCTGATGAGACTTGATAGGCTAGGGTCAGATGGAAGGGGCCGAGGACCTCCCTTGTCAGTGGACCTGGGAGGGGCATGGGAGGAGAAGAGGGAGGAAGGATGGGGCTGGGAATGGAAGAGAGAGAGGGCTATAGCGGGGATACAAAGTGAAAGAATTGTAATAATAAAAAATTAAATAAAAAAGAATTATATGTGAAACATCTGAAAATGTGTTATTCAAATTTTACACTATTTTGATAACACAAAGATACATTTCCACTGACTTTATTTGAAATAATTCAAAAGTCCCTGTAGCTTATAATTAAAGT